CCTCCTCCTCCTCCACCCCCCAGCTCTTCTGCTCAGTATCCCCTTCCTCCCCCTTCCCAGGCATTGCCAAGTTACAGTTCATCATATGGCCACTCCTTTCCACCACCCAGCAGCCTCTCTGTATCCAGCCAACCGCCCAAGTACACTCAGCCCTCCATGCCCTCCCAGCCTGTATGGAGTCAAGGCCCACCACCCTACAGCCGCCCACTAGGGAACACTAACTCTCACCCTCCTGCCTCCTTTCCTGGTCAGTCCACTCATCACCCGCAGCAGCAGCAGCAGCAACAGCACCATCACAACCACAGCAATGGTGCTGGTCTCTCTCCAGCAGCAGTTGCCACACCCCAGACATCTAGCAGTTATTCCCACCCATTAGAACCAGGCCCACATCACCCTCCTCATGCTGCCTATGGGCTACGCCTCTACCCACCCCATAGCCATGCTACATACAGTCAGGCTCCTTCTGCATCTTCCTCTTCCTCGTCTTCCTCCTCCTCCTCTTCTTCCTCCTCATCCCAGGGTACATACCCTGGACTCTGTAGCCACCCTCAAGGGCAGAGCACAGCCGCCTATGCCTTTCCTCCTCCCCCTCCCCCTTCACCCGCCCATGGGGCTGGACCCCCAGTCACTTCTGCTTCAGTTACCCTCTCCACTGTCATAACCACAATGGCCTCTTCCTCTACAGCTCCGTATAAGACAGCATCGCCTCCAGTTGGAGCCCCAACGACAGCCCCTTATGGGAAGCGTACAGCTTCTCCCTCTCCTACTTTCCAACCGCCAGCCCCCTACAAGCCAGGCTCTCCTCCTGCATCCTCAGCATCCTCCTTCCGTGTAGCCACACCCCCAGGATACCGATTAAGCTCTTCTCCGGCAGCGGGAGGCTACAAGGCCTCCTCACCAGCCCCCATTGTCCCTCCTGCCTCTGGAAGTATGGCTGCCCCTGCCCCACCCTTGCCTCCCCTGCCACTCAGTGCTGCACAAATAAAGCAAGAGCCTTCAGAGGAATTTGAGCCCCCTGATAGCCCAATGCCTCCGATACGGAGTCCGTCCCCGGCTCCCAAAGTGGTGGATGTTCCAAGTCATGCCAGCCAATCAGCCAGGTAAGGAACAAAGGGAAACTGAGAGAGTGGGAAAGGGAGATCAAGGGGTTGGGGACAAGGGATTCCTTCTTTGACCAATTGAATTTGCAGAATTCAGCAGAAGAGAATGATGATGTAGAAGGTTTCTTTAATAAAACCAGAAAGGTCAGCAAGTGGGCTTGGAATAACCCTATAGGGACAGAGTTCCCCGATTGTCCCATGGCTAGGCATACTTAATTGATTGATTCATACATCACCCATTTCTAAAAGCTTTGCATGGGACAGCTTGCTAAAATCTCAAAAGTTAGAATCGCTGTTGAAAAGGAATTTCTGGTGGACTTTTATAAGTCATAGTGCTTTGAATGGCTTCTGCATTTTATCTCTCTATTCAAGAAATAGAAGCAGAATTTTTCTTTTTACAACCCTTTAATCCCTTTTATCGGGGTGGAGTCGGGGGCGACTGAATGGAGCTGAGCGTTTATGCCAGAGGTGGGTTGCATCCGGTTCGCATCGGTTCGGGCGAACCGGTAGTGGAATGTGGGCCTGGGTCGCAGAACTGGCATGTTCAGAACTATTTATAGGCAACTGTGCAAAGCGCACCCGCAGCGAACCAGCAGTAATGCCGGCAGCAACTCACCCCTGCCGGATGCCCTTCCTGATGCCTACACAGAATTTGCAGCAGATATTTTTTCTTTGCGTCCTGATAAAGAAACATCTGGTGCGTAGGATTGAACTCTCAACCTTCCAAGTGAGAGATCACCGCTAGGCCACTGTGCCACTCACAAGGAATAGAAGCAGAATAAACAATGCAAAATTAAAATTGTTGTGTCATTTGGCCTAATGTTTGTAATTCTGGCAGATCAAATAATCTTGTACTGTTTTTCTTGAAGAATTTGGGTTTACCCAGGGTGAGTTCATATGGAGGCTGAGATATTCGGGTTTCTTTCTCACCCAGGTTCAACAAACATCTGGATCGTGGCTTTAATTCTTGTTCACGGACTGATCTCTACTTTGTGCCCCTGGATGGCTCCAAACTGGCCAAGAAACGAGCTGATCTTGTTGAGAAAGTGCGCAGAGAGGCTGAACAGAAGGCCAGGGAAGAGAAAGAGCGAGAAAGAGAACGGGAACGAGAGAAAGAACGGGAGAGGGAGAAAGAAAGGGAACTGGAACGAAGTGTGGTAAGTAAATGCCAGTTACATGCAGAAACTCCTCCTTTGATTCTTGGCTTCCCCTCTGAAAGAATAATAGAATTGCAGAATCAGATATATCCCTGCCAGAAGTTTTCAAAGAGCTGCTGCCAGTTAGAGTTGACTATGCAATCCATGTTTATTAACTGCCAAGTTTGTCAGAAGGTAGATGCCCTGACACATATCACACAATGTCCTTGGCAAGCAGAACACGTCTTGCTAAATGACCTACTCTCTCTTCTCTTGCAGAAAGTTGCCCAAGAGGGCCGACCAGTAGATTGTCCATCTCTTGGCCCTGTTCCTCATCGCCCATCTTTTGAGCAAGGCAGTGCCGTAGCGACTGTCCCACCATATCTGGGTCCTGACACACCAGCCCTCCGTACCCTCAGCGAGTATGCCCGGCCTCATGTCATGTCTCCGAGCAACCGGAATCACCCCTTCTATGTCCCTTTGGGTGCAGTTGATCCAGGATTGCTTGGTTACAATGTGCCAGCCATCTACAGCAGCGACCCAGCCACGCGGGAGAGAGAATTGCGAGAACGGGAAGCCCGTGAACGAGATCTCAGGGATCGCGACCTGCGTGAGCGTCTTAAGCCTGGTTTTGAAGTTAAACCAGCTGAGTTGGAGCAGCTCCATGCCGTGCCCAGTGCTGCAATGGATCCTTTCCCACGTCATGGGGGGTTGGCTCTCCAGGCAGGTCCAGGCCTCCACCCTGCTTTTCCCTTCCATCCAGGGCTGGGCCACCTGGAGCGAGAACGGCTGGCCCTGGCGGCTGGCCCGGCTTTGCGCCCCGACATGTCTTATGCTGAGCGATTAGCAGCTGAACGACAGCATGCCGAGAGAGTGGCTGCTCTGAGCAACGACCCCTTGGCTCGACTGCAGATGCTCAACGTGACCCCCCATCATCACCAGCACTCCCACATCCATTCCCACCTCCATCTCCACCAGCAGGACGCTATCCATGCAGGTGAGATTCCTTGGCCCCAGCATGGTCTGGAAGTAGATTTCAAATGTCTCTTTGGAATGGTTGAATTCTCACTAGAATGTCTTTGGAACCTCACCTGATTGGACACCTTTAGTAGAAAGATTGAACACGGGATTACTGTGCAAGAGAAAACTAGTATGGCAGGGAGAACACTGAGATTCAACCATTCTCCTTGATGTGCTCATTTTCAGCTTACATGAAATGTTGGTGGATGGAGGTTCTTTTAGTCATGTAACACTTTTTTTCTTAAGAGCTCAGCTGCAAGTTTGCTTAGGTCAGTGAGCATTAAGTCTCAGCAACTGTGTTAGACATATCACTCAGATATGTCAGTGAATTAATTATAATCTCTGTATTTGTAACCTAAGATTTTTAACTAAAATTGAATTCTGAGTACCTCAAGAAAGCTTTCAAGGTCCTTGCCCTGCCCTCCTCCCCTTCCTTCCTTCCTTTCCTCCCTCCCTCCCCATCCTCCCTCTCTGTTTTACCTTCCATCCTTTTCTACTTTTGATGAAATCAG